TGGAACACATATGTCTCCTGGGGCCCACTGGCTCCACAAAGATATAGAATTGACTGGTTCATTTTGGAGTCAGTTCTGCAGCTTACAAAAGTTCAGAGATCATCTTGTCATTTTAATCCTGGCTTTATGTTCTCACGTTTCAGCAACCAGTGCCTTGAAATGCTATGTCTACTTTTCTGCAACCCCCCCACCCATTAAATCCACCCATGCAAGTGTTTTGAGGAAACATGTCGCAGAATGGACAGCTTCTGCCATTTGAGCCAGCTCACCACTTTGCTCTTTCTTTTCATCCAATTCTTTCATTGTCATCCTTCAGGATTGGACTTTACTCCAAGTGTGAAGGAAACTGTTTACTTTTTATCTGCCTAATTCCTGTCAGTGGCTACATAGGGCAAACACTTTGTCATCCAGATTCTAGGAGCTTCTCTCTCTGATCCTACCTTCCTCACCTCAGCAGCCAGGACCACAGACAAATAGACTTTTATTATTTACTGTCATCCAAACTGGTGCATGGGGATGGAGTGGACGTGGGAGGAGATATATAGTTTCTCATTTTAGAGAATAAAGGCTTGTTTCCCCGCATCCCAATCTTATCCAAACCTCATTTGTATGTTTCCTGATCAAAACACATGTACCTTCCACATATACAAAATATATACACCTGAAATTTCATTTGGCCCTTATACAAAACCAGATGTATTAGTTGGCTTGGGCCTCCATAGGACAATACTGCAGGCCAGGTGGCTTAACCAACAGAAACTTATTTTCTCATAGTTCTGGAGGCTGGGAAGTTCGAGATCAAGGTGCTGGCAGGGCAGGTTTTATTCTGAGGCATCTTCTCTTGGCTTGTAGGCAGCAGCCATCTCACTGTGTGCTTATATAATCTTTTATTTTAAGTGTGTTTGTGGGGTGATGGAGGGGTTTGACTCTCTGGCATTGCTCTTTTTTTTTTGATGGGACTGTATTTTGAACTCAGGGCTTTGTGCTTGCAAAGTAGGCACTCTGCTGCTTGAGCCACACCTCCAGTCCAGTTTGCTCTGGTTATTTTGGAGATGGAATCTCAAGAACTACTTGCCTGGGCTGGCCTCAAATTGTGACTGTCCTTATCTCAGGCTCCCAAATAGCCAGGATTACAGGTGTAAACCACTGGTACCTTGCTCCAGCATCTCTTCTAATAAGGCCACTAATTCCATCATGAAGTCTCCACCATTATGACCTCATCCAACCCTACTCCCAAAAGAACCCATCTTCAAATACCATCACTTAGGGAATTAGGGTTTCAAAATGAATTTGACTAAGGCAATAGAGAGGAGAGGGACACAAACTTTCAGCTCATAGCACCTGGGAAAAATTTTGCTAGTTGTCTAGATGAGAAACCGAGGCTCAGACAAGTAAGTATACTGCACTAAGCTTGCAAGGAAGGGAACTGAAGGATAGTGGTGTCCACAGCGATGACCCAGCCACGTACACTGGTGCTTACCCAACTCCTCCCCTCCTCCACCAGCCCAGTGGTACAAAGTTACTTCCTCTCAATTCTTAGAAGGGTGTGGTAGTTTAAAAATATGTGCACAAATTCTTTGATAGTCCTCCTTTCAAAAGGTGCGATCTAATTCCTCTTCCCTTAAATTTGGGTTACACTTACCCCTTTTAACAAGTAGAATGTGGCAGAAACGGTGGTGCAAGATTTCTAAGATTAGATCATAAAAGATGCCAAAACTGCCTCCTGATTCTCTCGTGAATCATTGGCTCTGGAGAAACAGCTCCTGAGTTGTGAGGCTACTTAAAAGCCTTGTGGAGAGTTGCTAAGGCCACATGCCAACAGCCAGTGAAGGACATAGGCCTCCTGCTAACGGCCATAAAATGAGCATTTTTAGACTGAGACCTCCTTTCCCAGTCAAGACTATGAGTGGTTGCAAGTCTTGACATCATTTTTCACTGCAACCTTATTAGAGATCCTGGGATAGAGCTTTGGGTTGTCACTCTCCGACTTCTCTCCTACAGAATCTGTGAGATAACGAAGGTTTGTTATTTTAAATGACTACATTTTGGGGGGTGGTGATAGATAATTACTACTAAGATACAAAGGAAGGATGTTTTATGCTATACTCAGTTACCGATTCTCTGTGTTATCCCCGTGGTCAAGCCAAATAGATGGTTCTTGTGTCCCTGAATACCAGTGGGTCAAAGAAGAAATTAAAAGAGAATAACAATAAATGGACACAAATTGTTTTAAAATCTATATCACAATTATTTGTTTTGAGGCAGGGTCTCACTACATTGCCCCAGCTGGTCTTGAAGTCCTGGGCTCATGTGACCTTCCTATCTCATCCTCCCAAGAGGCTTGAGACTACAGGTGTGTATCACTGGGCCTGGATATAACTATCAATTTTAAATGTGACATAACAGAATAATAGTAGAAAAGAAGAACGACACAGTAATTTATGTATGAAAATGATCTATAGGAGTTTAGTATAATCACCAAGATCATGAACTCTGCTGTTTAATAGCTGGATGACCAAAGGTAAATTATATAACTTCTATGAGTCTCATTTTTATTATATGAAAAATAGAGATGTTATAATTAATACCTCATTATTTTACATGATAATAAATGCAACATACCAACTACTTGCAAAGTAGCCAATAAGTAACTTTAATTAATGTTCATATTATTGTTAACATCAATGTCAGGTATACTAGAATAGTGACACACATAAACAAAGTATAAATAGGAAGTGCAGAGCCGAGATAGTCCTCAAGATTAATCTATAATCATCTCATGGTTTAAAGAGCTGGAGTAGTATAGCAGTCTAAAACCCTCGAACTTCCAACATGATCTATAGAATGTTAGCTTACTGAACCCTAACAAAGCAAATATAACAATGAAAAACCCCTCACATTTCTGGCCCTGTAGAAAATAGCAATAATAATTTCTATTATAGAAGGTAGCAAGAATAACACCATGTAGCATGCCTGATAAACATATAGGTAATACTGACAAACTCAAGATCAGTGCTAGTAAAGTATAGCTATTGTTGACATTGGCCATGTTGCTTTTTCAGATGAGTGTCTGGCTATTTCAGGTGCCCATTTCCCTTGGATGAGGTGCAACTTCCTGCTTGGTTGGCTCATAGCTATCAGTTGTCAGTGAGCCCTAGCTGCCTGAACTTTTCAGGCTGGGGACTTAGGACTGCTCTAGTTCAGGATAGGGTGTTAGTTCCTCCCTCCTCATCTTCTGCTAGCCTCCATTCTTAACCCTAACTTTTCATCTCAGAATTTCAGCTTTGGTGCTTCCCACTTCCTTCCTATGGTTACTTTAACCGAAGTGAGTCAGGTCTTACTGAAAAAGTGACCACAGCCCATAAACTCCCACCCTTCCCTGACCAAAGGTGCCTGGGCAGTGTGTGTGTGTGTGAGAGAGAAACAGAGAGAGAGAGAGAGTAGTGCAGTGTTTACTCAGTCCATTCTTTCCCCTTCTCCTCCAAGTCACGGGGCTTTAAATAGGGCTTCCCCAGCCACTGTGCCCCCCTCCCGAACAAACCGCAGGCAGAAGTCAATCTCACGTTTGTCTGGTGGCTCAGGGAGGGCCCAGAAAGAGTTGCCTGAGTCCTTGGGCCAATTGGGTCCAGCCTTTTTGCCTCTGATCTTGGCTCAAAGAAGATTTGGGCTGGGCTTAGTGGTGTGCTGCTGTGATCCCAGCACTCAGGAGGCCAAGGCAGGAGAATTTCAAGTTCAAGGCCAGCTCTGTTACACAGCGAGTTTGAGATCTTGTCTTAAAACATCAAGGGCTGGGTGTAGCTCAATGGTATAGCACTTGCCTAGCATATGTAAGGCCCTGAGTTTGAGCCCCAGCAGTACAAAAACAAAAAATGGATTTGGTAAGAGTTGTGATTACCAGTAACAACCAACTTTGTGCACTGGGACAACCTTTGGGTTCTGTGAGCCATGTTGATATTTTCTCCTAATTTTCAGGGTAACCCAAGCAATTTTATACACCTCCTCTACCTTTGGAGCTTAAAGAAATAGAAAATACACTAAAACATTTACTTTGCCAGTCTTTGATTTTGGTATGTGCAAAATCACCTTTCTTAGCCTTAGCATGATTTTTAAGGATTTCGAGATAAATCTTAAATGACCAAGTCATGGGAAGACCATGGTGGTCTTTGATGTTGGCTTTGAAAGTGAGAATAGTTTCTTTTCCTGATCAGGCTTGGAGACCCCTCTGTCTCCTGGAGAGGTTGCTTTCTCTGGAATGCAGAATTCGTTCACCCCTTCTCTTGTGTCTCCTAGAAGCTTTGAGGGAACAATTTTGATCAGATAAGACGCGACACCATCTCATGATCTGTATAAGATCTGTTTATTTATTCAAAATTAAAATCTGCTATGAAGACAGACAAATAATGTAACATTCCCTGAGGAATTGAGTGACTTCTATTTAAAAGAGTTCTATTAGAACCAACTTTAGGTTGTTATAAACGACAAGCTGGCCACAGCTTTCAAGAATGAAGTGGTTGGAGAGTGAGGTCAGGGGAATCCCTCTGAACTGCTGGAAGGTTACTCATCAAAGGGGCTCCCTGGTTTCTCTTCCTAAGAGAGTAAGAGTCTTTGTGAACACTTCCAGAGCCCTGAGTCCAGAGATAAGAGAAATGGAAGGAGGTCACGGACAACAGCTAGAAAGTGGCCATGCTTGAAATGGAAGCTTCAGTTGGCTCCCCAAGGAACATTTCCCCCTTATATAACATAATTTATTTTAAAACACTCAAATACCATAGGGTATAGCCCTATGGAAACAGCTTAAACACAAATAATAAATATTGAAAAAAACTGTAATATTAGGCTTCTTTCTAAATAGTTCACAGAGAAGCTCAGTAAATAAATAAGAGTGGGATTGAGGTATCAGAGGTAATAAATATTCTAGGAGAGAGGTACAATGGGTTTTACACGGAGCTGTACTGCTACCAGAGAACTCTGGGTAAGATATTTGAGATGTTCAATTTATGTCCTAAAGTCCAGTACAGTCGCCATCCTGGGTGTTTTAGTTTTTTATCTTCGTTGTCATGTAAGCTTCTATGTAGTTGATGAAGATGTCAAACTCACTCATGGCTTTGTAGACGCCTTTCTCGTGGAGCTGTGTAGGAAGATAAGAAACAGTTAAAACCTTATGTGAGAACTAAATGGACCCTTTCCATTGGATGGCCCAGACCCTGGATGCAGAGGCTGTTCTTCCTCCCTTGTGTTGGGAGGTGAAGGACAGCTCTAGGAATGAGATAATATGTCCAGCTGCCTTGGGAAGATTCTGTGCCTTGACCCTGATCTTTCCCCAGCTTTAAGCACAGCCAGTAGGCAGCCAGAGGAACTTACTGCACAAAACACTCTTTAGAATGGTGCCTTTTCGTTTTCAAAGGTCATGTGCTCACATGATGCTTATGCAGAATTTGATGCAAAGATATAAGAGGAAGCAGTTTGAAAGCAAGATGATGGAAGGAACTTTTTCTTCATGTGTGTCCCTCCCACCAACAGATTGGGCAGGCCCTGTCCTGCCTCTTGGATCCACTGTTAAGGCACATGCCCATTGATGTTGGAGCCCTGTCAGCTGCCTGTCCCCAGCCCATAAAAAGGACAGGCCACATGGCTTCTGGGAAATAGGGTCTAAGAGGTTTGCAGGCAGTTGGAAGTGTGAAACCCCATTTGGTTTGGAAGCTGATATTCTCAGGCACCTTGGGAGGTGTAAGGGGCAGATGGAAAGTGAACTTGAACCTACTCTACATAAGTGAGAATTCTGCTTTCTGCTTCTTCTGAGTTTTTGGGGAGTCCAGGCTGCCTCCCAGATGGGACTATACGTGCACATTTACATGACAGCTTCCTGCACGTGTGGGTTCAGCCTGGATTCCCAACAAGTCACATTCTGTACTTTCTGTTTCCTCTGTCACTCTCCCCAGTACCACGCTCACTGAGCTCAGATGCTGGCTGGCCCATCCAAGTCAAAAGACTGCAAAGGTGCAGAGTAGTCATTTAGAAACTCCCAAACACACTTTTCAGAATACAAATATAACTGAGGTGGAGGCTCTTCACTGACTGAGGAGATCACACCATTTGCCAGGTTCCCACACTCCCTCCATGGACAGGTCAAGCCTATTGAGCACCTGTCCCTCTGCCCGTTGGGGAGTGGGCAGAGGCTGTGCTCTGCAAAGCCTCTTGGCCACCATCCAAGCTCACCTGACTAAAGGCATTCTTCACTTGTTCCACTGCCTTGCTCTTATTTTCACAGGGAAGAAATCGATGCTGCAGAAGCAAAGAGAAAGTGTTAATGACCCTGGCTTCCAGATCTTGTGTCCATGACACTAGAGGGGACAGGCTGGTTATATGAAGAAGGGGCCAGATTCATTCTGCATGCCCACCCCTCATGGCTCCCAGGGAGAACTGAGCCCTGCCTCATCCTTCCCCATCACACTGAGGACAGAGAAGAAACAGCTCAGGGACTGAAATGTATGTCTCTCGAGCAAGTTGGGTATTTGCAAGGCTTGGGTGAGAACTCAGGTCTTGGTCTGATTCTCTCAGACCCCCAAAACATCTATTGTTCTTATCCTATCTCTCTCCTTTAATCTCAGCCACAGAAGGCCATTTCTAAGTGTCCAAGGAATGGAAATACAGTCACAGCTAGCAGGACCAAGACACCAACTGATTTCCCAATATCAGTGAGAGAACAAAGCAACCCATCCACGCTAAAGCTGTGATTTCAGTTGGAGAAATAAATTATCTGGAGGGATTATTCATAGACACATATCTATGTTCCCTAACAACATATCAGGGAAATCCTGTTCAGTCAGTCATGCTCCACTAAGAGGTTTGCTTTCCAAAAGTTGAGAAGAGGTGAGTGTTTTCCTTTGTGTGGGAGCCTGTGTTCCCAGTTCAGGGCTCAGGTCCAAGGAGGTGAGGGAGCCCTGACTGAGCCTCTGGGCCCCATTCATGAAGAGAGAGGGGAGTAGTTAATAACCCACAAATGACTCACAAATAACAGGAAAGCTGTGAGCAGATCTTCACATGTAAATGCCTAGCAGCCACCCCCACCCCTGCTCAGAGAGAAATGAGCAAGAACTCTGACTCCAGGCACCTTTCCAAACTCACAGTTAGCCCTACCAGTCTAGCTCTCTGTATGCCTGTGGCCCTCCTGGGCTGTAGAAGATTCAGGTATTTCTGGGGCAGCCTCAAGAAAAAACTGATTTGCTACTCACACAGCGCCGCAGTTGCAGCCGGAGGGTCTTCAGCCTTTCCCCCAGGGAGTTTACATGGGTCTGGATGTCTGGGCCATGGGTCTCCGCCTGAGGCATCACATCCACCAGGTAAAACTGGATCATCTCTGACAAGGCTTGGCAACCCAGGTAACCCTAAGGGCAGGAACCAAAGCTGGGGTGTGACTGGGAAGAAGGGCTGCTGCAGAGAGGATTGTCCCCAGCTGCCTCCACCCAGGACTGAGCCCTTCGTAACCCCTGGCTGCTGGCGATGTGCTGAGTTAAGGTCTTCCCACTTCTCCTTTTCAAAAGCAAAGGCAGAGAGCCCAGCTCCCCTAGTCACAAGCAGTACCTCCCTTCCCTTAATCACGCTGTACACTTCCCGGGCCACGAGCCTGCTCTCACCTGAAAATCATCCAGCAAGGACTTGCTTAGTAGCATGCTGTCCAGCTGATCCTTCTTTTGCTGCAAGAGTGAAATGAGAGTGGATGCATTGTTTTCTGATGCTCTTTCATTTATAGACTTTTTGATTTTTAATCAGTGTAGCCCTGGCCCAAAAATTGAAAGAGTTTTCCAAACAGGATTTGATGATGCTGGGACCTGGAGTTGAATGAGATCCCTTCTCTCAGGATCAAGATACTTTAAAAATCTGGCCAATTTTGATGGGAAGGTAGAAGCTTGATCCAGTCCTGGTCTTATTTCTGCAGAGTCACATTGGGTTTCAAGGGCACCTGTGCCAACCCTTCAATCCTAGAGCCCCTTGTCATGCTCTACCCTTTACTTTTCTTTCTGTCTGCAGACACCATCTCTGAGAGCACGCTGGGAAGGGAAACATCTAATACAGGTTCCCCATGCTCAATGCTGCCCCAAACCTCAGTCTTTCAGGTCTAGACACTAAGTGGAGGCACTTTATGCTTTCCTGCTCAGCGTATGGAGGATATCTTTGCCTCCAATCAGACCTTCCTTCACTTCTAGCCAATGAAGTATGGAGATCAGTGGAATGTTAAAGAAAGTTTCTGAGCATGGGAGAGGCACAGCATGTACCTTTTGGCAGCTTTACCTGCACATTCACTGGACGATCGGGGCTTAGTTTAACTCACTGATCTAGGAGTCTCCAGAATTTCAGTTTGAGGAGAATGGATGCAGGGTATAGAGGGGAAGGAGTAAAAGAGTGAGGAGAAGGACTCTTCCTATAGCTTCAACAGAATGTCTAGTCTAGGCAGTCTCAGTACGAAAGAAAGGATGGATGGACGTCATACTCACAAAGAAAATCTTCACCCTGCCAAAGGCAGCTCGGAGGTCTCGGAGCATGTGTGGCAAATTGCCTGGGAAACGGGTGCAGCTATCCTCAGACTGGGTGTGCTTACCTCGGCTGGCCCCCACCCCAGCAAGTAAGACCAGGCAACATAGCAGTGCTGGGCTGTGCATGATGGAACTCTGCTTTCTTCTTGCAAGGCTGCCTTGTGGTTTGGTATTGCAAGAGCAGGCCCCTGAGGTATAGACCTTCTCCTTCTGGTCCCCCCTTTTTATATTGTGGGCTCAAATGAGATCTCCCCAGTTATGAAGCCACACAGACTCAACAGATTTCCTGGCAAAGGTTTTTCGTGATTCAAGCTCCTCCTCCCTTCCCCCGACCATACATTTGACAAGCTTAAATTTTTTAAAATTTTGCATGATTAGCAAAAAGACTGAAGCAGATGAACTTCTGCATTCAGCTATTTTTAGAAAGGGTTACCTCTCTCTTTCTGTCTCTCTTTTTTTTAAAAACAATTTTTTAGCTTCTCAATTAAAAAAATGTTGATTTCCTGGGGAGGACATCTGTTCTGTACGCAGTGAGTTCCATTCGCGTGTTCCTAGGTCACAGTGACGTGGACAAATTGGCCATTCTAGAGTGCACTAGGATTGAGAAATAATTAGGTCCCCACTGGACCTGAATTGAATACCCAAGACTTCTTGCTGACTAGGCAAGTCAACTTAGCTCTCTGGGCCTCAGTTTTCCCAAGTGAAAATTAGGAGTAGGCTAAATATTCTTAAACTCCCTTCTGGTTCTTCCATTTTATGTTCAATGACAAAGACAGACAGGTCAGGATAGCTGGAGAGAGGCTCCAGCTTCTTCTCTGGCCCTGGCTTCATTAAGATTCTCAGCTCCAAGTTTTTACCTCAGTTATCCTGGCTTGGGGGAAGTTAGGAAAAGTAGCCTATACTTCCTTCCCATGCACAGCCAGGTGTCCTCACCATGACCTTAGTATCTCCATTTCTATAGTGAGTAAACCAAGATTCTGAGATGTTGTGCAACCTGCACAATGTTACCTTCTGCCCTACCCTGTTCCCCAAATGAGAATGAAAGTTTTGATGAGATGGTTCTTAAGATTTCTTTTTAAAGCTTCTATGGCTGGAGCATAAAGCTTGAGAGGTGGGGAGGAAGAAGTAGAGATAGCAAGGACAGTAAGGATTCCATGAAAGAAGTGCCTTTTCTTCCTCTTTTCTATCCCTCTGCCCCTTTCCAAAGAAGTCCTAGTAGTCCAGTATTGGATTTGCAGGTGTGTGTGTTCAGGGGCAGGGCCACGAGGTGGGTTGGGATGAGGAATGTCGCTCTACTTTTAGTTAAGAAAGGATTAGGGCAGTGACATCCTTTCTCTCAGTGCCAGAGAGAATGGACCACATACTCTGAGCTCACCCAGTCTGGAATGAGCAAGTAGGATGAGAATGTCCTTGGTCTACTTGGTGGACTTAGCTGTTGGAGCAACTTGTGGATCAGAATCCACAAGGGAGCTGTGGCCTCTCCTCTCACCCCTCTGGGGAGTGTCAATGCAGAAACCTACCAATTGTGAAGGGAGAAAAAGCATTCTAGAAATTGGCATGGAACCAACCCCCAAATTACTGCTCCTGCCAGATTTATACTGTGCTGAGTTCTGTTACCAGCAAGCAGAGAGCAAGGAATCAGGGCTAGGGTTCCACCTCTTCTATCTTTCTCCTTTCCTCTCAGCTCCTGGCTTTTCTGGGGTCTCTTCTTTAGGTTAACCTAAAGGAGCAACCCTCTCTTTGAGCTGGGTGTTCCAGGTGCAGACACAGTGCTCACTTGACCAGTCAGTTCAGAGGGTTCAAATTCCAGGCAAGGTGTGAATTCCCTCCTACCTGTTTTATCACTGTGCACTGTGCTTGCCTCACTATGATGTCTACAACCATACGTCATGGCCATTCATGAACCCTCCTGGTCTTGCCAATCCAGCTGTGATCTCTCTGGGCAGAATGTTGTTTCATTAATCTTTATATACGTACTATCCAGCACCATGTCTGCCCTACAGAAGGTAATAGCTATACTTGGGGTTGGCATAGCAGAGTGCCCTGTGAGCCTGGATGAGGGCTGGAGTGTAAAGTACCAAGGAGGTTGGTCTGAGCACAGGGAAGCATTCAAAGGGGAAGGGAGAGCAAGTCAGGGAGATAAGCAGCATCTCTAACATTTTCTTCTTGCATGTATCAAATTATATGTAATGTATAATATACTAACATGTCACTTTAACATAGTGTTAATATAGAATATATGATATATAATCAATACAATAAAATTAACATAGTATGTAGTATGGTGTGTGTATTATATATTAATATAGTATATGTTGTGTATTAAATAAATATGCATACTTACCCACAATAGCAGGGTGAAGAAAGGTGTATAAGAGACATTTATGTTTTTTTAGTTCATAATCCATTAAATAGGATTTAAGTTAGGCTCTGGCTTCTTTATTTGTTATGAAACATGTAGCCAGTTATCTGCAGCTATTTGTTGAGTAGGTGGTCCTTTCCCTCTAGATTTGAACTCATTTATTATTCACTTTCATCCCCAAATTTCAGAATCTAAATGGTCAGAGGTAACCATAGGCAAGTTCCTTAATGTGAGCGAGTCCTTTAGCCAATGGAGATACTATCTCTCCTACAGCTTATCTCCTAGTAATGGTGACAACAGATTGGTGTAGACGTTTGTGATAAGATCTGTTCTTTTATTAACAAAACAAGAACCTGTATCTCAAGACTGTGAGGATATCTGTTCATCTAAAAAGTCACTGGGATGCACTGGGAAAAGCCCCAAACTCATAGTCACATCTGAGACATAAATGCTAACTACTGCATGTCAGGAGATCTGAGTTTGACTTTCCATACAAGGAAAAAGCCTGTGAGAAGGAAGTGAGATAAGGTATCCATAGATGAAGTGTCAGTCTGGGTGTCATTTGTGTCAAGAGGATACCACTGCCACTCATCAGACTGTGAGTGAGCTCATTGACAGCAAATGACCAGAGTCAAGAATGCCTTACAGGCAAAGTTCTAATAAGTTGAATTTAAATAAATTCCATGGGAAGTCAGAGGAAGTTTCTGGGAGAAGTACCTCTCCTTTTCTGCCCCTGCTCCAAAACATCCTCCAATCTCAGTATTCAGCTGCCAATGAAAGAAAATCTTACCAAGCCTTAAAAAAGAAAAGGGTTTGTTTTTTTTGAGACAGGGTCTCACTATGTAGCCTAGGCTGGTCTTGAACTTGTAATCGTCCTGTTTTAGCCTCAAGTGCTGGGATTACTGTTATGTCCAACACTTGGTTTAGGATTTTATTTTTTGCTTTTGCCTTACAAGAAGCCCGGAGAGAGGCTGTTCTGGTATCACACTAATATGTCATCAGGGACCTGTGTTTTCTTCCTTCTTGTTCCTCTCCTTCATTGTAACATGTCAGAGAGCAGGGAGATGGTGAAGCCCAATTCAAAGGCATGTCAACCCAGGAAATCCTAATAATCCTTTGGGATGCTCCACTCAGTAGGTTTCACTATTTTAACTGCAGAGGAATTTAGGCAGATAAGAGTTGCTGGTGTGTGTGTGTGTGTGTGTGTGTGTGTGTGTGTGTGTGTGTGTAGATTTTGGAGGGTCCTATCTACAGTGCACATGATCTTATAAGAAACTCACCCTCATGCTTAGCAAAATGACAGACTTCTTGGTATAGTTACCCTGAACCTTGCTCTAATTCTGCAACCCAAGAGTGGGAACAGGCTAGGAGACCTGTAGGGTGCACCAGAGTTGCAAAGAGCAGGCTAAAGAATCCAGCTTGCTAGACTTAGGGTTCACCAGTTTGCCCAGAATAGGCAGACAATGCAAGGACCAAGAAGGCAGTGTTGCAGGCAGAGAAAGTGGGATTGGGCCCACCTGGGGAAAAGGGAGCAGCTGTCCTGATGAAGAATCTTTTGGGAGATTTGTCATTAGTAGTTGTTTTTTTAAGGCTGATAATGGGAGTCTCATTTCTTCTTATCTAGAACATCCAGTATGTAAAATAGTTTTGTTAGCTTGAAATTTCTAGTATTCCCTTGAATAACCTTCCTCAGCTCCCTGGCAGACGCTTTCCTAGTGACTTTACTGCAAAAGACTCCACATACATCACACACAGCGAGTGTGACTGGAGAGGGTCAAAGGGGTAGGGGGTCAGTGGGCATTGTGTTTTTCTGGGCTCTCCAACTTGCGACTACAGTATTTCAGAATAAGGCCTGGTGGGCCAGAATTTTAGGAGAAACCTGCACTGGGGCTAGCCCTAGGCCAAATCAAGCAAGGGTTATGCAAACTGGATTGGGTGCCCTTCCGATGATCAAGGATTGCAGCCGGCAGACACTGCAAACCACAGCGGAAGGGCTGCTCTTGGACAGCCAATGTGGAATTCCCCTTTGTGCAACTGTGGTGCCAAATCGAGCAATTTGGATTTTCCTTAGGGGACACTCTGCTCTGTAACTTCTCATATGAGAAATTTGGCTTTGGGGGGTGGGGTGGGGGGTGGGCAGGTGTTATTGCTGGCTGCTCAGAGGCTACAGGTACTACTTCTGTTCTGTCCTGGTGGCCACTGATAACAATGGGCACCTGAACCTAGGCCACCAATGAATCCTCTCAGCTTCAGAACTGTTCCTCCAATGGGATTTAGTTTACTCAAATCATCTCTTCATGAATGGAACCTTACTTAAGAAAGGCTTCTTGGATGTGTGACTTTTGCACCTGCACAGGACCCTATGATCAGAAAGGCCTGCTCTTGCTCTGTTCTTACCATCTTGAAATTCTTCATAATTGTTGAGCAAGAGGCTCTGGCTCTACATTTTGCACTAGACCCCCTAATTTATGCAGTCAGTTATGTTATTTGAGATTTAAATCATCATCTTTGTGTTGTTATCTTCACCTGACTCAGTAAATAAGACCGCCAATTAACTCTAGAAGTTGGTGATTCTGCCCTTTTGCCAGTCTATGTCCAATCACCAGATCTTACAGAGTTTTCATTACAAATATTTCTCTCATCTGCTTACATTTCTTCATCTCCACCATCACCAGCAATGACTGGTTTAAGCTGCCTTCTTCCTCTCCTGGACTACAATATCAATGCCTAATTGGTATCTTTTCTTTTTGGCAGTATTGGGGTT